TGAGGGGTGACCGCGCTGCGTAATGGGCAGTTGCGCGCGTGGCGGCAGAGCTGCCTCTCCCGGGGCACGGGTCACGCAGGCATGCACGTTCCTTTGAAGCACTGATAATGTTCGTAATGTTACTGGTGTAGCAGTGCTAAGCCGGCAGCCGGAACGCGCCGTGCACGGGAGCAAGAGGATCTTCCCGGCCTCCTCTGTGCTTATCACATTCCTGTTAAATCCCATCCTTGGGCAGACGCTCCGTAGCCAGGTGAAGGTGGTATCCAGAGGGAATTCTCCCCCGAGCAGACTCGGCTCTTTCTACTAGCCTCAGTTGGCCTTGTGCGTCCAGGCCACCCCCGGAAGGCTGTAGTGCCACGTGTCTGACCTTTGGCTGCTCCCCGTGCCCCAACAAGTTCCACTTTGGCTAATCATCGGCAGCAATTCTCCCCTTGGGCTAGCTTCCTGCCCCATAGGGCAGCCCTGTGTGACTGGGGGTGAGATGTGTGTACAGGAGGAGAGGAAATGATTCCTTCCCAGGAATCTGGGTACCTGGCTGGCTCAGTGCTCTTGGATGCCTCTGCAATGAGAGAAGCGATAAGATCTTTGTCATGAGGAAGGGTTTTTTGTCACTCCACTGGCTCCTTTCCTGTCCTTGGGACCTGATTGCATCGTCCTGTGCTCTGGGTGTGGTTCTGGACAAGTCTGCTCAATCTGAGGTGTGGATGGTATTAACATACAGGACAAGTGGCAGCAGGGGTGATTCTCCAGTCTGTGACAGTGCCAGGCAGTAGCTGGAGTGCCACTCTGAGTCTGCTGTGTCTCAGGAGCTGCTCTGAGTGATGTGACCTCAGCCCAAGCGCTGCCTTCCAGGTTTCAGGGCCCGCTGTCCCTGGCCTCCGGCCACCCTCTCGGAGTTGACGTCTCTCTGAGCTGCGTGACTTGCCTGACTTCGGTTTCTCTTTCCTCCACTAGTGCTGGTGGCATGTGAGTGCCTTGTCTGCCAAGAAGCCAACGCGCTGTTTGAAGAGCGTTCCAGGGACACAGGCTTCATTTGTGTCTGTAATGACCCTTCAGCGTGGGTGGGTGCCAGGGGCCTCCAGAATTAAACTTGTTCCAGGCGTCATGCAAGGATCTGCGCTAGTGCCTGTGTCCTCACGGAAAGAACAATAATAGCTCCACATCCGGTAGGCTCCTGCAAGTGCCAACTCCCTCGATCTCCTCCAATGCAGGCTCAGGGATGGACTCCACCTTGTCCCTGTGAAGAGACTCTGCATGCTCTCAGCAGCCAGAAGGGGATTCTGCTGCCAGCTTCTTCACAGGCTGCCCCACAGCAGGACTTGCTCAGCGGCGCCTTGGGAGGATATCCGTTCACGCAGTTGTGTCACTGCAGTGCCCGCTGCACGCCCATGGAGGAACCTGTGTGCGTGTTCTGTCTTCTTTGAGCTCTTCAGCCCACGCTGTCTGAACTCACCTGGGCTCCTGGCAGACAGTTTGCTTGTTTTCCCAACTACTCTCCCCGATCCTGTTGCGTTCCCTCTCTCACAGAGCCCAAAAAGGATGTGAACTTTGGAATGGGGTCTATGAGCAGGCTGCGGACTCAGTGCATGTGCGAGACTGTTGCTGAATAACAGGAGGACTGGTTAACCGCTGTGGGCAGCCTTTCCGTCTGGCTGCAGGGCACCAGCCTTGCCTGGGCCCTTCACCATGTTCCTCCTGCTCCCCTTTGACAGCCTGGTTGTTAATCTCTTGGGGATTTCCATAACTGTCCTCTTCACTCTGCTTCTGGTTTTCATCATTGTGCCAGCAATTTTTGGAGTCTCCTTTGGCATCCGCAAGGTTTACATGAAGACATTATTAAAGATTTTTCAGGTAAGTCATGTTTTCAGAATTTTCTGCGTGTTTACAGGGGTCTTGTCAAGCGTGGTCATGCTAGGAAGAGAGGCTTTTGCCCCTCAGCACAGCATTGCAGATGACTGGGATGGGAGATTGGTTTGTTGATGACACGTGCTGGTGCCAGGTGACCCGTTTGGGTCATCTCAGCCAAATGCCATTTACTAGACCTCTGTTCGTGGGCTGTTTTCCCCCTGTAATTAATCCAGTAAATCTTCAGGTAAAGTGGTAGGATAGCCTGGCCCGTGAGTACGCAATAGTACGGTAGGATCTGTAGGTGTGCCGAGAGGAGGTGTGTGCTTGGATGGGTTAATGTCCCAGATGAGGGAGGTGCTGTTGCAGCTCGATGAGGAAAGAAGCCAAAAGGGGTGTAGGGTGTGATGGGGAGGGACAAGGCTGCAGTCAGCGGGCTCCTCCTCCTCCAGCACGTGTTTGGATGAAGCAAAAGCAGGAGGTAAGGCAGGACTGTCTGTACTGCAAGCCCTGGGTGGTCTGTGGCCAGAACCCAGCACTCTCAACACCCTTCTGTCCTGGAGTGCCGTCTGCTTATCTGCTGAGCCCAGTGGCCATGTCTGGACCTGCAGCCTCCGAGGACAACCAGCAGCCCTTACTGACCCTTTTGGCACTGGGAGGCCAAGTGGAATTTTCCAACTTGGGGTCATGCTGTTCCCTTGCCTGCCTTTGGCAGACTAATTTTATGGGCTGTCTCACAGCCAACACTTCTCCTTGAAGCAAGTGCCTGGCAAGACCAGAACTGTTGCCAAACTCCTGGTAGATAAAGCCTACACCACCCTACCCTGACAGCCCGAGCAAAAGGAAAAGGGGTGCCCTGTGCTTGATAGGGAGGGTTTAGTCTCTTTAATGTAGGGTTCAAGCTGCAAAAGGATTTCTGGTACAGCTACTGCTGTTTCAACAGGGCTGGTCTTCCCCAGGAGTATCTCTGTACTGGCTGGCCTGGGAAGGCAGCCTTGGAGCTTGCAATGTTCAACTCTTTAAATTCCAAGTCCTCCCCAAAGGCTTCTGAATGCAAAGACGCTGGGCTTTGTGAGGTGCTTCGTTAACACAGATGTCTGAAGACCTGACTTCAAATTTAGTGACTGAACTGGGGGAAAAAATTAGTAAGAAGTTTGGTTTATCTGAAATGGAACTTTTGACCTTGTTTTCTTTTTTTTTTTTTTCTTTCTTCAATTCATGAACGTTTATTCTCCACACTTATTTTGGTGTTTAATTTTGAAACCATTTTTCTGAAAAGACTCTGAAGTCTATTTCAGCTTTTATCAAATAATCTTTGCAGTGGGAGAGAGGAGCACTCTGGCACAACTGCTCACAGATTTGGTGGAAAATTCACTCACTGGGTTTGGTCATACGGAATTGTATTTTTGGGGAGTGTTATTTACCTGAAAGGTTTTCCCAGCTCTAGAGGCCAGTGTTGCCAACCCAGCCCAGAGGGGCGGCACTCCAATCTGGCAGCTTGTGGGACATAGCCAGAGCTGCAGCCCTGCAGTGGCAGCTGCACGTCTCTGTTGGTGAGGAGGGAGACCTGCCTGGTGCCTCCCAGGTGGGAGTCTGGGTTTTCTGCTACTGCAATCAGGATAGAGACACGCTGGGCTTGCGAGGAGCGGGTTCTCCATAGGCTGCCCAGATCCTGCGGGTCAGAGCTCCTCTTCTGACTTCTCCTGGGATGGCAGTGTCTAGACAATCATCTGCAATCCTGCAGTTCCTTCTGCTGGCAGAGGAGGCTTCTAGATGAGCCGGACACTCCATATGCAATTAGCATTCCCACATCGCTGCCTCCTGATCTGATGCTGGCATGGGCTGAGACCAGTATGCCAAGACTTCCCAGCAGCTTCCCCTTCTTCACAGATCCCTGATGGAGCAACTACCCTGGAGAAATAAGCATGTTGTACACCAGAATCTTGTTCCCCCAGGCCTGTATAATGCAGAAGAGCATGAGGCTGAGAGGGTTACTTGGCAGGCAGGCAGGAAGACTGGCCAGAAATCCAGCCTGCAGTTTTTGCTGGTGTCCTTGAGAATTAGCTGAGAGAGATTTCTGTGGATAACAGGTAGTCTGGGCATGGGATTTGGCAGCCAGCTGCCAGAGAGCTGTCTCAGAGCGCTTGCTGCTGCTGTTTTGGACTGACTGGTGAGCTGCAGCAGCTGTTAGCTGGACTGGGGAGGGAAGGATCCCATCCCATCACCAGCGTGATGTTTTTAGCAGCAGCTTGAAAACACAGTCTCTGCTTTGAGCATTTCTTTGAGAATAAATGAGGGTTGAAAAATAGCACTGGTCCCGTACTCAGCTTCCTGCACGGTGATGTAGACCACCCCAGCAGGATGCTCAGTCCGCCCAGCAGCGGTGTGGTGGCAACCACATGCCGGGTGCAGCAGAGCCTACAGGACACAGAGGCTGCAGAAAATCTTGCTGTGCCATCTCACCACTGAGCACTCTTCTTCCCGCTGGCAATCCCTGCTTCCTGCTGGGGCTCTGCTGTGCAGAATGGCACACAAACATCTGCACGTCATGGTTGTCCTGTGCCTGTGCTGGTCACCTCCCCATCCCTCCTCTTGTCCTGTTGCAGACAAGTCTCTGCTGTAAAAATGTTCCTCCCGGGCCAGTCTCTGCTTCCACGCCGGTTCAGCTGTGTTCATCACTCTTTCGGTTCTGTACGGACGCCTCCTGCTTTAGTCCCATTTTCACCCCTTAACCATGGCCTTCCCTGGAAGTTGACTGTAAAACAGGGATAGTATGAACTGGAGCTACAGGCCTGACGAATTTTGCTCATCATGTGTGTCTCTTGCAGTGGGCGACACTGAGGATAGAGCGTGGTGCCAAGGAGAAGAACCATCCGTTATACAAGCCCTATGTCAATGGTAAGATCCTGCCCTGCATGGGTATATATAAAGTTCAAAATTCTTTTTGGGAGATAGGGTAAATGTGGTGTCTCTGAGCAGCTGAGGTTGCTGGGAAGCCTTTTCCATGTAGATGGATTGGAGGGAGCTATGGAGGGGTCCGTTTCATGAGGAAGGGCAGGGAAGCAGCCAGGGAAGGCTTCATCTCTAGGCAGGTGGGAGGACTGGTTTATACCTGTCTGGACTGGAGAAGGGAAGGGCGCCCTCTGGAGGACGGGCGAGTAAGTGCGCTGGCTCTCAGCCGTCTTTGAGCAGGCAAGTCGCACTTTGCTCAGCGCTGCCTGTGGCATGTTGCAGGTATCATTGCGAAGGAGCCAACATCACTGGAAGAGGAGATCAAGCAGATCCGCCGGAGTGGCAGCGGCAAAGCCCTGGACACCCCTGAGTTTGAGCTCTCAGATATCTTCTATTTCTGCCGCAAAGGCATCGAGACCATCATGGATGATGAAGTGACCAAGAGGTTCTCTGCTGAAGAGCTGGAGTCCTGGAACCTACTCAGCAGGACCAACTACAACTTCCAGTATATCAGCCTGCGCCTCACTGTCCTCTGGGGACTGGGTGTGCTCATCCGCTATTGCTTCCTTCTGCCCCTCAGGTGAGTGTGGCTGCGGGAACCTGCCTGCCGAGACACTGCTGACGGCCTGTTCCCACTGCAGCAAGTGCAGCTGGTGTCCGAGCCCCACGGAGCCTGTTCAACATGGTCAGGAGAGACAGGCTGCTTGATGAGTAGGGCCTGTGGCCTGGATTTGCTAGCATGTAGCTTCCCTCTTTCTGCAGGATAGCTCTGGCGTTTACTGGCATCAGCTTGTTGGTGACTGGTACTACAGTGGTGGGATATTTGCCAAATGGAAGGTGAGTTCCTCTCTGGGGGAAGAGGTGATGGGAAGCCTCCTGTGCAGTTTGAGACCCGATAATCCTGAAGTTTTCCTGCAAGGCCTGTCTGTTCCACCTGCTGCAGACAAGGCGGGTGGTCCTGGCGTCTAACCCCTCAGGAACAGACGCCCTGTAATTTTAAACGAAGGGCCTAGATGTGACCACTAAGCGGGTGGCAGAGCGCTGGGCTCTGAAAGGAATACGAAGAGAAAAGAGCAAAGGCCAGAGTTTGGTCCTCATGATTTACGCATCAGTGGTCATAAGCTGATGGCAAAAGCCAGGATGAGACATGTTTCTATGAGAGATGTGAAGTCTCGCTTGTATCTCATGGCCTGGGGCAGCAGGGCTGAGCGGCACTGTTACAGGGGAGATTGTGGAACTGGGGGGTGATGGTCTCTGTCCTGGGCTGCAGGTGTAAGGAGTTCCTGAGCAAGCATGTCCACCTGATGTGTTACCGGATCTGTGTGCGTGCCCTGACGGCCATCATCACCTACCATGACCGGTAAGGAGGCACTGTCTGCTGCTGTTCCTTCCCACTAGCTGCTCCATGCCATGCCTCTTGCAGGCCTCATGCTTCGTTCCTCTGTCCTCATCTCTACTTTTGTTTTGCATTTAGAGAAAACAGACCCCGAAATGGAGGCATCTGCGTGGCCAATCACACATCTCCCATTGATGTGATCATCCTGGCCAGTGATGGCTACTACGCGATGGTAAGGTCTGCAGCCCAGCCCCAGCTCTGCCTGCCAGGGCCTGGTTGCACGCGTGGTGGGAGCAGCAAGGGTATTGTGTGGCACAAGAGGCTTTTGAGCATGCAGAACTACTTTTCCCTGCATGACATCTCAGGGCACTCTCAGAGACTGTGCACAGTTTCCCTGTTGCACGTGGCTTTCCAGCAAGCTTGGCCTGGTGCTCGGAGCACCAGGGGTCTCTAGGGAGTGCTTTGCAAGTGGAGCTCTGGGCTTTGCTATCCATGGAAGAGCAAAGTGCTTCCCCAGCTGGACCTCCTGCAGTGTGGAAAGCACTTGGGGCTTGCTACATCTGTCCTTCCCTCTCAGCCTTTCCAGGGCACGGGTAGAAAGACAAACCTCAACTGGGCTGTGAATCTCGGGGCTGCCTTGGCCTTCCTGTGTCCCCAGGTCTTGTAACTTGTGTCTTCTTGCCCTGTTCAGGTGGGTCAGATCCATGGAGGCCTCATGGGTGTGATACAGAGAGCCATGGTGAAAGCTTGCCCCCACGTCTGGTTTGAACGCTCTGAGGTCAAAGATCGTCACCTCGTCGCCAAAAGGTGGGACAGTTGCTAGCTGCAGGGGAGGTCTGGAGGCTGGGAGGGGGGGGCTGCCCACTTCCCTTGGGTGAGGGCGCTGCCATGCCTCCTGGGTGTTGGGAGACTGTGCCACAGTTGCTGGCACCCAGATACTTCCCAGTGAGTGCAGGACAAGGACTGTATGCTATGTGGATTGCTAGTGACAGCTTCTGTGCCCTGTGTTAATGGGTGACACTCTTCTCTTCAGGCTCACAGAACATGTCCAGGACAAGAGCAAACTGCCTATTCTTATCTTCCCGGAAGGTGAGTTGTGGAGCAAGGCCAGACAGGCACCTGGTGGAGAGGCCACATTGGGACAGCACCGTGTCTGTGCTCCTTCCCTTCTTACGCAGCTAAGGGCCTTGAGACCCTTCACTGAGACAAAGGGGACATTGCATCTTTAGAGCTGACTGAACCCAGAATGTGGAAGTCAGATATATGGTGTCCCAGTGACACCTCCTGTGCATACAGAGAGCAGGGTTTGGAGCGAGTGTCGGGGCAGATGCTGGATGCCTGTGGCCTTGTCCTTAGGTGCGTAGCTTGGACTTCTGAACTGACTTGCAAAGGGAAGTTGAGAAGATTGTGCTTGCCTCTTACAGGAACCTGCATCAACAACACGTCTGTGATGATGTTCAAAAAGGGGAGCTTTGAAATTGGAGCCACGGTTTACCCTGTAGCCATCAAGGTATGAGAAGGCAAACATTCTTCCAGCACAGGTAGTTCTCTGCGTGAGAGCTCAGTCTTGGCAGCCCAGTCTTGGTACTGCCGAGCCAACAGCCTGGTCTGAGGGCACAGGGAAGCTGAGATCACTCCGCGTGGTGCTCTGGGAGGGCTGGCCTATAGCTGGGCTTGGGGTGGAACTTGGAGCCTCAGGGATGGTGCAACCACTGCCTGGCTTTTATGAGCTCTTCTGCTTCTGTAGTATGACCCACAGTTTGGAGATGCCTTTTGGAACAGCAGCAAGTATGGCATGGTAACCTACCTCCTTAGGATGATGACCAGTTGGGCCATTGTCTGCAGTGTCTGGTACTTGCCTCCAATGACCAGGCAGGTAAGTCGGGTGAACCTGGCCTGTCCAATCTGCTGCCTGTGTGGCCCTTTGCTCCTGCTGACCAGTGTTGTTTTGCCACAGGCTGAAGAGGATGCTGTCCAGTTTGCCAATCGAGTGAAGTCAGCCATTGCCAGGCAAGGGGGCCTCGTGGATCTGCTCTGGTGAGTCCAGGCAGGCTTTTCTCTTCCTGGTGCCCGGGTGCCTTGTTCTGGGTCCTGGTGTGTGCTCGTGGGCTGTAGAGCAAAGTTTGTGTCTTGTGTTGGGCAGAGTAGGCCTATGGAAAAATGGAGATACATCTTGCCTGTGACCTCCAAAACTGCTCTTCTGTAGCGGGGACCAAAGTCTTTGCTTCTGCTGTGTGTGTTGGGCACCAGGGCTTCATTCTGTGATTCCAGTTTGAACGGGGTGCCTTGATTCTGACTTGATGCTGCTCAGCAAAGTGGGTTCAGCTTAGGAGCTTCCTTTTTCAGGCACTGATGTCTTCAGAGCCTGGGAGGCACAGGGACTCTACAGGCAGTCTGCTGTAGTGGTATCAGAGCAGCTCACGCTTCTGACAGAGCTGCCGTGTTGAGCACAGAGGGGCCATGGGTGCAGCTCCTGGCAGAGCAAGGTGTGAAAGTAACTCTGTGTTGGGACAGTTGGTCTGCGGTGTGCCCTGGCAACATACAGTACGGCTGTAGCTGTCCGGCTGTTGCGGGAGCTCTGACCTGCTCTGAGCAACCCCAGTTGAACGTTCAGACAGTGCCCGCCTGCAGCTCCTCTGAGGATGTGACTCTCTCCCCAGGGATGGAGGACTGAAGAGAGAGAAGGTGAAAGACACATTCAAGGAGGAGCAACAGAAACTCTACAGCAAAATGATTGTAGGCAACCATGAAGACCGGAGCCGCTCCTGAGCCCTCTGCCTCCAGCACTGTTACTGGGCCTGGCCAGAGCCCTCTGCCTCCAGCACGAGCTGGGGCTTGTCTGGAGCAGCACCGAATCTTTGGACTTTGGCTACTCCAGAGCTGCTTGGACTTGCTCCTTCATCCTCTGGCCATTGTTACCCGGAGGCACTGTTACTGCCTAGAGTCTTCAGGCCCTGAGCAGCCCTTGGCAAAGATGCCTTCTTGTTACTGTTACAGTGAAGCCCCTTGGAGGGGCAATATTAAATGAAACACTTATGGTGTCATATGCTTCCATATGGTGTTTACGGGCCCAGGGGGAGGACTGGTGCGTTGATGTGCATGTGTGTCAGTCACAAGTCTCCCACGGCACAGAAACTGGTGAGCTGCACTGAAATTAGCTGCCTTGACAACCAAGGGAGTCTTCATGAGCCTGTGCCTCTCACGTCTGCAGCATAAACCTCTTAGGAGCAGTGTGTGGTCTCTCCGGCCATTTACAGCTTTATTTCCAGGAGAAACCTTTCCTTTTCCTTTCGCCACGCCCCTGTCATAGCCTGACCCATACCTTCTCCAGCATCTGAGTAACAACCTTTTTGCTGGGGTTCCTCAGGTGGTGAGGATCATCCCCCGTGGAGGCCTCCCTCTGTCCTGCAGGCTGCCAGGCAGTTGTCGCTGGTGTGGCACGTGGGGCTCTTGAGGAATCCATATGTGCTGTGGTGAGACTCCATGGATGAGTAGGAGATCCCCGTTCAAATGTCTCCTGAGGGACCGGTGGGATCTGGTCTTGTTATGCACCAACACGCACATCTATAATCTCAGCTCGTTGTAAGGAAACGGAAATCTTGTGCTGGAGGTGGTACCCCATTCCCTTTCAGCTCTGCAAGTGTATTATTCAGTAAAACAATTTGCATTTGAGCATTCATCCCATGTACTTTCCAATTTTCCTTAGGTTCCTACAGACTTTAGCACTTTCATTGGATCCTCTGCATGTTCTTGTAAGCAAATGCTGTTTCACTGCTACCTGCAGAAGCCGTTTGCGTGTGCATTCGCTAGAATGCAGAAGACAACAGTTCAGTGCCTCCTTTGTGCCCCCAGTGGTGTTTGTTGGGGGAGGGTGTCTGCTACCCCCCAGGTCGGGGCAGCTCTTCTGTGTGCGTGTCCTTAAATTTGAATTCCCTGCTCTAGCTGCCAACATGGATTCAAGGTAATTTACTGCTTGCTTGGTTTTATTTGGGTAAAACACTGTTATATCAAGAGAGACAGAGAAAAGAAAGCAACAGGGAGAGAGTCCAGAAACTCCCCTAACCTTTCCCAAGGGACACGATGCCCAGTCTCAACATGTTACTCGGTTCTGTGCGGTCTCCCCGCTTCGCTTTGCCACTGGCTCCAAAACTCTTCCTTTGGGTCAGTCAGGTCGTCTCTACCTGCGCACAGACCATGTGCGAGCAGGGTAAGCGTAACTTGTCCTCATAGTTGAGGAACCCCATTTTGCAGTGTGCGGTTTTCCACCTGCCCCAGGACCATCAGCTTGTGCTCGAATAAACTGACCTACCTGGTACAATACCTGAGAGGGGACAGTCTGCCATACTCATAGTGATGTAAAGCTGAACTTAATAGCATAGATCTGTTAACATACAGTTATGGGAAATATTTCTATACCGAATTGGTTTACCTTTGCTTCTTGTAGTGCTTAAAATATGATCCTTTATAAATATACACACAGGGACACGTTATCTACACAAACACTGTGTTCCGTTATCAGTGATCTGTTACATGATCACCATTAACATCCGGCATCACCATGAGAACTGGGGCTGTTCTGGTTTGGTGATGGGGACGCCCTTCCCGGCCCTGTGCTTTTCACTGTTACCCCAATTTTGTGTTCTCTTCTGCTCAGCTTCAGCAGTGGCAATTGATCGGGCGGGGGGGAGGGGGAAGCTGCAAAGCCTGGTGTCTTTTCCTGTCCACCCAGGATGACAAAACGAAAGCAGCTGAAGCCAAGCAGGAGATAGTTAACAGCAGCTACAGGGTTGAAGTGTATTGCTTACACTCACCCCTACAAGACAAAACAACTGCTCCTTAGTAATAGATATCAGTTACCCAGGCTGGGATCCCTGCTTCATTAGGAGTTTGTTATGGCATTAAGGGTCTATTCACCAGCATTTTGGTTTACTTGTTTTACCCAACTTACTAAGTACAGCTCTTAACACCACTTCACCAATCTTCCGTCTGTGTCTTAACCGATGGGGCTGTTGCTTTGCTACTTCAAAAAGAAAAGAAAAAGGAAAGAAAAGCACAACCCTTATCTCCTTGGCAGTTGTTACAGAGTTTTTGACCATCACCTTTAAGTTGTGTAAGAAATGCTGTGGGTATAGCGTATGCCTCGCAGGTGTTAACCTGTAGTGTGGTTAAGCTTCAGTCCCCGAGCAGGTGTGTGTTACCCTGTGGTACTTGTCTCTACCATTTAATCACAACGTTTTACGAGCTGTGTTTGCTCCATTCCTGAT